TTGTAATCCCCTCTCATTACCAGAAAATCTGGGCAAGTACGGACCGACGTCCCAAACCAGATGAATGTCAGAAGCAGGGCTGATGTCACAATACCAGAAATGTAGTAGTTGGTAACAGCACCAAACCCATGTACTTAAACGTAAACTCCTATATTAAAAAGTAATTTTTTATCACCAACATTGTTGTGGCAGACCATTTATTTAACATTTATTTAACATTGAAGGTTTGTAATTAACATATTCACATAACATGTGAACATTCAAACACTCTTAACAAGTGTTAAAAGCAATGAAAAGTGTCCACTGCATCCACTTTCTCTGCTCTCATGCTATATTTGTTTAATCTTTGGAGTTTTTTACTCAGTTCTCCTGTTCCCAGTGAACTCCACTATTGCTTCCTCCACAAGAACAAGTTCTGTTGTGTTTTCATCATGTTTCCAGAATTTTGATATCAAAGGGTGTCACAAGCATCTGTTCTGGGGACATATAGTACAAATAGTTAAATAAATATTTAAAAAATATATACCTGATTCCTACTTGCCAGGAGCACTTAACAAACCATCAAACATTAAAACAACTGAACAGCTTTTAGAGTAAGGCAGTAATATTAAGTGTCAAAGTTCTCCATACTATTCCAATCAAAATATCCAAAATGTTTAGTAAAGTAAATACATAGATAAATACAAAGAAAGTTTCATACCTGGATTTTTGAAATGTATTCACTAAAAGTGATTTGTTGGAGGAAAAAAAACCAAACCAAGACAAAAACAATTTCACCGGCCTGCTGCTTAGAGTAATGATCCTAATTAACAACCCTACAGTGTGTAATCATGCAGGCACGCATGCTTGCAGGCCACTACATACTCATGTGAGGCAGACGCATACCGTACCTCTTGTGCCCCAACACAAACCACTTCCAGTAAATTAGTGGCAGTAAATGAGGCAGCTGATGCCTGTGTGCTGTGCAGCCTGCAGTTCCCCAGTGGACACTTGACACGGCCTGGTTGACCCCACACTGGGAGAACCTGCACTGTGGCATGCAGAGTGGGGGAGAACAGAAAAGCATTAAGAAAATATGCGAGTGTGGTGCAGTGAAATCACTGGTACTTACGTGTATTCGTTAACATTCTCGTTCTCATAAATATATGAACATATTTCTAAATGTATTTATTATCTGTAACTGCTATAATAAAGTGAAACGCAACAGTACGTGAAAGCTGAGGTTTACACTGTGTGTAAGTGATCTCATGGGTCACTGAAAGAAACCCGTGGTGTCGTGTTTACACAATAAGATGGGTGCACTGGTGAACTAAAATGTCTTGTTAGACCTAAACAGAGAAGCCACACAGACCTCCCATATTTCCATCCTTCAGAGTTGTAGATGAAAATACAAAACATTAGCCATTCAGATTTTTTAAAAAAGAACCTTTTTGCTACAATATAAAGGAATAACATGTCTTGTACATGTACAAAATCTGAATTAATGCGGTGCTGTTTAAATATAAAACGCTGTGTGAGGATATATTTTGGCATTTTGGTAGTATTTCAAATAAAATTGTATATTGTGGCGAAACAAGAATAATAAATACTGTTTCTAACCTATATCCAGCTGATGAAAAGGCAAAAATGGAGCAGGTGGCTTGTGTTATCTTAGCTGAGTCTCATACCATTCATAATGTTTTCCTGTAACAAAACATTGTGGCTGAAAAAGCAGAGCTAATATTACCCATGTGCAACAGCTGAAACAGCACTGAGTATAAATGTATGTCTGGCATCACCTCACTGCTGATGTTCTGTTTGTGCCGGATAATTTAATGACAGGAGCCTTCAGCTTCTCCCTGGTGTCTTTTTTTAGGCCGTTAATTAGCAATAAATTGTGAAGCTGTTTGTCCACAGAGGAAACTTCACCCGTGTTACGTCTGAAAGTGACCGACAAACGATTTACTGCTGTTTCAGCACACATATATGTTACACTTGTGCAGACATAAACACGTACACATGCATACTCAACAACCATAAACACATGCGTCGCCAGATAAAAATCTAGTTACGATTTTGTGTGGATTTTAGTTTAAACTATGTGTGAGCAGATAATTCACTCGCTGGATTCTAAAAACTGGATTAAGGACTAAGATAATTCATTTATCCAGCGTGAATCAGCAAACACGTTAGCAAAAACAAACTCATGCATAAGAGCAGCCATTGTATTCATACTCGCCAGACCGTGTCATACCTGTGGTTATTCAGTCATAAATTATAGGGGCTCCCCCTGAGACTGGAGGACCAAATTGCCTGTAGCCATATTTTTTGCTCTGTAATGATTAGTTGTGTTTCTTTCTTGAATGTGACCATACTGCAGCCTGATGCTAATGAAATTAAAAGTGATTAATAATCAAAGTAATGCTCTCTTTATGGCAAAATATATTGTGCTCATACTAACAGAGAAAAGAAACATTTACAAGGCCAGGAGTTTGTATTAATCAGAGTTGTAAAGTTTAGTGTTGACATCAAATTTCAGGAAACAGTGGAAATTGTTTGGTTACTAGCATAACGCCGGTTCTCTGTAAGCTTATTGCGGTATCTTGCCATCCAAAAATTACATGTGATAAATGATGATAGAGGCATTGTATTGCATTGTAGTGCATTCCAGCTGAATTTCAAAATTCCTAGTCAGGATTTTCAACTGGAACACCACCTCAAATCAAATTTCCAACTCGAATAGTTAGAGCAGCCCCACCAACACTGACTTAACAAGACATGATGGCAGTCGTGAACATATGCAGTAGTAAAACAGTAAAAATTTAAAACTGTACAGCCACTATTGTGTATTTCTAACTCGATAAATAAGCCATACGCAGAGCACTGACTAGGCTCTTTCCATGATCATGCTGGAGATCTTTTAAGTGCAAAAAAGCATCATTGCGCTGTATTCCTTGTGATGCATGAATAGCTCTACCTTGCTAGGAAGTAAAACAACTGACTTTGCTACTAAAACATGCTCAATTCACGAGTGAAATCACTCACAGCTCTGAAACCCGATCTCTGAGGTAAATGAAATGCAGCATTAGTCCAGAATGTTTGAAATGAAATATGTTCACAGGGTAACATGTTTCCCAACCTTACGGATGGTACAGAAAGGATAAAACACAAGTTACAAGTTGGTCTTTTAGGGAAACACTAAATATCTTCTTTCTTGAATGGAGTTTTCTCCTTAAGGAAATAGTCACTCTTTAAAGGATCTTCATTTTTTTGAGTCCATTATGGCACATCACCAAAAGACTCCTTATCCCAATCTCTGATGCCAGTATCACTGAGTAAGGGCTCTCAGAAGAACAGAGTGTGATCGTTCTTCAGCCAAAGTGAGTGTGTGGGCAATTGCCTCAACTGTTAAGCCAAACTACATGTTTCCAGCCAGCTGCCTAAACCCACATTGTGTCCACAATGTGGGTTTAGGCATTAGTAGGATGGGTCTTTCACTCCAAACTCATTGCATATGGGTGCACCCTTGGCATCACATTTAAATGCAATAGGAAAGTGTTATTTTTCAACATGCGTTTCCTAAACCTGTCCAAGTAGATTTTGGTGTCTAAACCTAAACTAATAAGCAAGTGAAAATGAAACAAATCAGTGAGCGATAAGTGAAACCAAGCTCTCAGACAGGACACAACCTTTGGTCTCTTGGCTGACGTTTTCTAACTTCTGCTGTTTTTTAATCACCTGAAGGTGAAACAAGAATGATTAATTTCTTTTGCTTCCACTCAATGTGATTAATTTGAATTTTGGTGCCATTTGAGGCATTATCGCCCTAAAAGAAGGATGGAATGAAAGAGGTCAAAGTTGTAACCGCATAATTAAACATCATTAAAGCCGTTTAGCTATTTCTGAGGGGAAAACAAACATTGAGTTGTAAACTCATCCTAATACAAATATCATATTGCATATAATATCACAATGTTTAGACTTTATGAACACAGAATCCTTCTCTGGGCAGTGTGAGAGCATTGTAAGAATGGTCCTGCTTACTCTGTCTGATCTCTTCCAGGGGAGTTTGGATTAAACAGGTCAGGGTGTGGAGATCAGCAAAAGACCCTGAGGTCAAAAGTCAGCACCAAGAAAGACCTTTACATTCCAGCTGAATGCTCCACTCTACGCACATGCAGACACACATGCACTTTACCACTGAAACGACACACAGACTGTTCTATTTTTACCCAGAAAGGTTGTTGATGCAGCATTTATTCCTAAAACCTGCAACAAATCCAAAAAAGGTAATATTAAGCAACTAGAATAATAAGAATCTACTACAGCTACAAAATGTGTTGTGATTTTATCAGTAATGTCTCTCCAGACGACCTACGTGAGAGCTGAATCAACATTAACTCACAGGAAAGTGTGCTGTGTGAACACTTTTAATGATGTGGTTTTTTCAGAATTCTTTGGTAGGTTTGTTATCTACTGTAACCATTTATCAAAATGTTTACACATCATAAAACTATGCATATTGGGTTTTGGCAACCACACTCCTGGTATCTCAAACCCGGTATGTCATGAAACAATGTGGTGTAATTATACGCTCCATTTAGGCAAGATTCTTAGAAGAATATATGGTTAGTACCGAAGATCAACACTTATTTTTATGCAATGACTGGCATGCTTTTCTCTTTAGCCAGATGACCGACACGAACAAGCAGTCGCAAATACATACAATTCGCTGAGCTCGTGTTAAAACACTGGTTTATAAAACTGCAGATGCTCCTCAAATAAGAGGGATAACATGTAAAGGAATGAAATAAGTAGCTGCTGAAACACTGGAATAACACAGGATGAATGCTTATTTTAATTAAACTCTCTAGGTCAAGGTTTATTTAGGAATGCTTACAAGTGCTAAGAAAAATCAAGCGAGTTTCCTGTGTGAATCACTCCGTGGCATCAAGTATCATGGAAATGCATCATAGCCAAGCTATCGTGACTATAATCTTTTTTTCTCCTCTTTTTCCCAGAGCACCCCCGTTGTTCCTGAGAAAGAAAAAGCTGGTAAGTGCTTGCTGTTTTTTCATTATCATTTGTGCCTGCCTAGATGAGAATCTTATTATAATTTTTTTTTACCTTGTTCATTTTTCGGTCACGTAGAAGTTGTGAAAGTTGTCTTCAGTTTGTCTGGTCTGCGCCTAAAGTGGTTTATGTGAGGAGATTCTCGACAATTTGCGATGGATGTCCTGTGTTCACAACACAAAGGCATTGCAAAGTACTGAGAGAGAAGGTGGAGTGTTTGACTGAACAAGGACAGACTGTGGTGAGGCTCTGGATATGAGTGTAGATAAGAATCCTAGACTCATCTACGAAACCATCAAGCCTGTCGCCTTTCCGAGATAAGAGCCAGACTGGATGTCGAGTCTGTGCCCAAAACTTTGAACCTTTCCCTCGTTTACCTTTTGCCCTCACTTTCCAGACTCTGTATAAAAAAGAAAAATGGGGGAAAAAGCAAATAGAAATAATGATCTTATATCAAATACATACAGCAGCACACAAGTTTCTCTAAGCAATATTTATCAAATAATTTAGCAATACAAATAATCACTTCTGAATGAATGAATCTAATGAAAAGACTTATTTCTATTGACATGCTATATCATTACATTGCAATTCTTCCAGTGGGCCACTTTATTATGAATCGATCTAAAGAAAAAACTCAAATCTGTAGTGAATGCTCCCTCCACTCTCTATCACATAGTGCACAGAGTGGGTCATCAGGAAACTATGGATGCACAGACCTACTTGCAGACAGACAGCAGGGGAGCAGTGTTCATTAACCCCCCCCATGTCGTCAGTATGCTGGTAAACAATACCAGAGAGGTGGTTCGACGTAGGAGATGAGGCTTTCATATTGGCCCCTGCTGTCTCAAAGCCTGATGAGAGTCCTCACTCAGGCTTGCTCTGTCTGTCCCTTTCTCTCTCTAATTAATACCACTATTGAATGGAAAATGTCCCCAACATGTCCTTGTGTGTGTCTGTGTGTGTGTGTGTGTGTGTGTGCATGCTGTGCATATGTGAGTGCTACCTGCATTCTAAGTCAAAGCTTGGAAAAAAAGCACTTTGGCAGCTTCAAAGGGGTCAAAGTCTGTTCTTCATTTTTCTTAAATTAAATCACTCTGACTCCCTGTAAGCAAGTTATGTAACCTCCATCTTTGCGTCTGTGTGATAGGGCCCAGGACTGTGGATGGAGGGGGAGGATGGGGTTGCAGTGGGAGTTTTGGGGGCGCGGGGGGGGGCACAAAGCCCAGTGTTCATTGTGGCACTTCAAAGCCCTCTCTGTATCGCCAGCATTTAAGGCCTCTTGGAATGACACATTTCTGACAGTGTTACATCACACGCCATGCCCTGAAGGCTCCTGCTGCACTGCTATGAAAGACAGCTCATTCATGGTTAATTTTACTATGTGTGCAACAACAGAAGCTCACTAGTGATCAACAAGACGTTTCCACAGTCCATGCTCCCTAATGGCACGGTTGATGACCTGCCTGTGGCGCTGGATGTACCTTAGCCAGTGTTATGGCTTGGCTGCGCACAAAGACCATGTGTCTGTTGCTCTGCAGAGTTACAGCTCCTGTCCTGCTGGTTATTGCCTGATTTTACAGGGCCTGCAAAGCACCAGTTAACTGTAATGGCAAGAAAAGACACAAGACATACCGCATACCATTGGAAGATAAGGACAGTCATGATGAGGTGAGAGATGCGATGTGTATGTTATGCTGCTGAAACTAAGAATACACTCAGATTTATTCATTTATTTATTCATGACCACAAATGTATTATTGCTATAACAAAGAGGCAATTTTTTTTTATCTTCAGATGCAACTTTTTTTTGGATAAAAGATAGGAAGCTGACAGACTTGCCTCGTGGGAGTAAAAACACAACAAAGAAAATAGCGAAGACAGCCTATATTGGAGAATTTAATATTTTTAATGCTTTCTGCTGTAGCCCTGAACACTACAAGCACTCCTTTATCTGCTCTTTATTTGAGCAGGTTAATGTAGCACATAGTTGGTATGGCTGGGTGAGGTTTAACAACTAGGGTTAGCTACTGTGAAGCTTTTCTTACAGTACTATTGCATCATCTGGGAGTAACCTTTATTGCCAATTTATGACTTAGAAATGTCATAGACATCGCCCTCCATGTCATAACCAGAAACTGAAATGTGAAAGCAGAAAAACACAATTGTTTATTATAGCACTTGGTTAAATCCATATCCAGTACAGTAATGATAATTATCTTACTGAAAAGAAATCTATTTTACCAATATCCTAAAATATTTGATTACCTATATTTCATAATTTGCAAGCTAAAGAGAAAATAGCTAACAGCTAAATGATGGTGTTTTAATTTTTGAAGACAGAGAAGACAGAGGGTAGCAGATAGAGCACAAAGTGACCAAAAAAAGCTAAATGTTGGCATTTTTATTGTTTATGATTCAAACAACAGCTTCTGTTATTTGAACCAGTGTCAGCTGTCTTGCCAAAACAAGATAAAATGTGCTGTCTACAAAATGAAACGAATCCAGGTTCTTTGCTGAATGGGATCCAGATCCACAATGGAACTTGATATCCAAACTAAGTTTGATAATAATAGACACTGTTGAGGGTAATAACACACAAGCTTAAACTGAATGTTCACTGATGTGAAAACTTGCAATGTTGTAAACATGTCAGAAATCCACGTTGCAGATTACTGATAGCAAAGTCGGTCTGTCTTCTGTGTTTTTTTCTTGGCTGTAGTTGAGTTTAGAAGCACCATGGTCTGCCTAACTGATCTAAATATAAACCAGTGCAAATATAAAACACAATGATGGGCATCCAACCAATAGCAGGGTCAAATCCTGGCTTTTTACCTGGACCTACGTGTCTTGGCTAGCAGTTGGCGATAAGAAGAGTAAGGAAACTGGAGGGTTAGATACCCTCAATGGGATTCTTCATGCTCCGACTGTGAATAACTTGCCTCATCATGTCTGTCTGGCACTGTTTTTTTTTCCTGTTTCCCTGTTAGTCACTATTCTTTCCAGTTACAGAGATGTTACTGGTATTTACGACTGATGGTAAGATAATTGTTTTATTAGAAGTGACCTGAGCGTTAAACTGTGGGGAACCCAGAATGAATCATTAGACAATCTCACATCAAAAAAACTCCCTTTTGAAGGCACAGCCGTTTGGTCAAGTGAAAAGATATCAGCGTGTGGATAAAGCCAATAGTTTCTGATCTGTAATGTCGATATGATTCATGTGAAGATTTGAATCCAAAAGAAGCAGCTAAAAAGATGTTTTAACTATATTTAATAGTTTGACTTATACGGCACCAAATCAAAACAGCAGTTGCCTCAAAGTGGTCTATTATATTATAAGGAATACACTTTACGAAAAACACCACAACAATCAGGTGACCCCTGTGAACAAGCACTTGATGACAGTGGGAAGGAAAAATTCCCTTTTAACAGGAATACACCTTCATCAGAACAAGGCTCAATAAATAGACAGAAGGCTTATTGTGTAAAAGAGACAGAACTGATCCACTCATCCAATAAAACGGGAAAAAAAAAAGAAATTTAAGTATATTTTTCTAATTTTTTTCCTTTAGTAAAAGTTCTTAGAAATATGGTGTATCTGTGAGGAATATGTGACAGACTTAGTCATCTGTGTAAACAAGTAAATCAGTCCTCTGAGCACAGATGGTGCCTTCATGAGATCATGTTTTCTCTGCAGATCTTGTGACTGATCATTTTAGCTCCAACAGACCACGTTCCCACACAGCGTCCCACTTAATTCAGAGAACATCACAGTTAGCAGAGTTGAACAACTTGCTTTTCTCATTTGCGACTATTGCCTCTTTCCTGCAGATGCGTGCCCTCTTAACGACGGCGCTGTCATCTGAGAAAGCGCTCTGACAGATGTAAACAAGCTCTTCGTATTTGGAGCCAAGTCAATAGCAGCTCATGACTGATGTTTGTTTTCTGTTGCTTGTTCCTCTTCTTTAATTGAGTCTGCCTTATCCCACTTTTTGCCCTCCCCACTTCATACCAAGTACAGGAGTCAATGTGTTTGTGCAAGGTCACATTCCTGGCCTCCCCCATTCGTCTCTGATGGCCTAACCCCCCCCCCCCACCAGCCCCTCCTCTCCCCTCCCATTTGACACCCTCTCCTTTGCTTCCTGTCTGGAGACTGGTAGTGTAACATACTGAGTTGGTTTATATTTCAAACTTTTGAGTCTGAGGTGGAAAGATTTACAAATGCAACTCACAACTGTTCCCTTTGAATGTACATAATCCAATTTCCTCATGCTTGATGTCAAAGGATATATGGGATAGTTTGGAATTTTAAAAAAGTTTGGAAGCATTTGATGTTTCACTGTTCTGCTACTTCAGATTTCTGGTTGAGTCATATTCTATTACAGTAAGTGTTCCTCCTGTGAATTTTTAGAGCTCTTTTTTGGGCATCCATCTCCTGTACTGTGAAAAGGAAACCACACATGAAGGGGAATTTACAACAGGAACTCAGCCTCCTGAAACTCCCGAACCTACAACAACAAAAGTCTCCCCTGTTCTATAGAAATAAGCCAAAAGAGGTGAAAGAGGCCTTGCGTCATCAGTCTTATTATAGCTCTTCAACAGCTATTGATTCAGTACCCGCAGTACATGCAACGTATGTAGAAGAAGAAGACTATCATGGAAGCTGCTGAGTAAATGTTCTACATGGATGGTGAGAAATTTATATTTGTCACTGATTTTTTATTTTAGTTTTTTGGTAATGGGTTTAGGCTTGATCCCAGTCAGAGACACAAATCCCTTTGGGGTTGCATCAGGAAAAAAACATCAGCAAAAGCAAACATTTGGAGCTACCTGCTGTTGTGACGTAAAAGAAAATTGTCTTTTTTTAGTCTTTTTGCATAAAGAAACCTTTTTGATATTGGTTGTATTTTATTTTTAATGTCACCATTTATAGAAACTATTTGCACTTAGCATCTATGGTATGATGCAGTCTTGGCTAA